TGTATCTGTATCTGTATCTGTATCTGTATCTGTATCTGTATCTGTATCTGTATGTTAAGCCAGCAAGATACTGCCTACTGACAAGGCCATAATTGTTTTTCTTTTAGATATCGATGGGTGTTCATCTAATCCCTGCAAGAACGGGGGAGTTTGCGCCAACGGAGTCAATGATTATTTCTGTAAATGTCGCGAGGACTACGCGGGAAAGAACTGCCAAAATAGCGACTAAAATCAGATCCTGTATCTTTCTTCCTACAGTCTAGTTACGACTACTGAAGACATGTTAGTCCCAATCTTTGAAAGTTAAAAACGTATACGTGTTGCGCGGGAAACTTACTTCAGCGTTTATTAGAAAAATAAAAGTTCAAGGGAAAATATTGTGTGTGATGATTAAAAGTGCATAGTTTAACACCTAACCCTTCCATGATTCCATGTTGTTTCAACTATAGCATTAAAGAATCTATACGTTTATGGTACTCTTCTCTAATGGCTTCCAGTTCCTAGCAGGCGAAAAAAAAGAGGGACAAGAAACAAGATTTTGTTTTATTAGTTAGTTTAGTTTATTCGTGTAATGCATCTATTGAGTTCGGGCGAGTACGTTAGCTCTCTTTCCATTTAACTCCCTTCCTGATTTGAAAACGTGCAAGATTTAATAGACTTTAACTTTCGTATGCAAATTGTCTATTTCAGACCACGTGATATTCCCTAAGAATTGTTCTTTATGATGAAAATTTTGAAATAATAACATGTGAAAGAATGATTTCCCAAGAGTGGCTCCATATGATCTGTAACTATTAAAGTTTACGAAACTCTGTAATTTTTTAATTGAAAAAAAAAACAAAGGTATTTTATTACCGGTCTACCACAGGTAACCCGTTAATAAGCCTTAAGCGAGATGACGTTTTACCCCCGTCTCTAGACCATAATCCTTTTCACATTGCTTTTGTTCTTAAATTATGACTATTGTTCCTGTATTCTCTAAGGAATCAAAAATTTTAATATGAAAGAATTTTAAAAACTATTATGGTCTAGATACGGGGGTAAAACGTCATCTCGCTTCAGGCTTATTAAATGTTATTTTGATTCATGTTTATTTGGGACCATACCTCCAGACATCGAGTGCCGAAGCGCAGTATGGCAGCGCGAAGCATTTACGGCTATGCCGAAGATTTCGACCCCGACACCGCTATCCAGTGACTGATCAGGAAGCTCGGCCGAAGCCTAAGGGAGAGGTTAGTCGGCCCCTAGACCGTAGATGATTAACCCCTTGCTATGAACAGCGATTCTTAGCTTGTCTCTTTGGTCACTAAGCTTCTGAAGGTACTTCAAACCATGTGGGATGCTCAAGTGAGATGTTCGACATGCGCATAGCATTGGGAGAGCTTTTTGACGTCACAACATGATGATCTTAGTCATGTTTCCTGACGATCGAGTACATGCATGGATTGAGTTTGTACCACAGCCGAATAATCTTATTCCTGTTAGTCAGTTATCCTTCTCAAGAGCGCATCTATGAAGTTACTATCACAACTTGCCTTGTTATTTCGTGTACATAAAATCTGGATATTCGTATCCTCGTCTGTGCCAAGACCCTTAGAAAAAGAATAACGGGAAATATTTAGTTAACAACATTCACAAATGAAGCTCTGTTTTAATACCTTTATTGCCTCATTTAATCTTTTTATCCTCCTCAGCTGCAGAAGACAACAGGGACTGAAGAACACCTTGAGCATCTTCATCAAGATAAGGCTTAACATCTTCCAGTAGGTCCTATAATACACAAAACAAATGCAACGCGTACTTTGTTACTCATGATTAAAGCTCGTCTTCAGAATAGCTTTTGTTTGGCAAAGGACTGAGAAAGAACGTTTTGTGTAAAAAAATTGTCACGTATCCAGAGGCAGGGAATAAATATTCCATTCCTTAGGATAGAATGTCATAGTTTCCTGGTATTTGGAGTTTTCGAACCTTGTCGAAATTAGGTTTCCTACTGTTTAGCTCTTAACCAGCAATCTCTAAATATTTTTTGCTTTCTCAAGTTTGCGTCTTAAAGAGTTCAACACTGAACGTTGTTCCTTTGCCTTTTCATTTCGATAATTGTACTATAACATGTGTTGCCAACCTCGTTATATCACTATAAAATCCTTTACACCCCTCCCTCCCTAAGTCGAACCTTTTTTATACGAAAATGTAAATCAGTGCCCCTCCCTATATTACGAAATGTTTATCTTAACCTGTTCATTTTCTTATTCTCGACATACCCTAAAACTAGACGTTATCTAAATCTAAACAAATTTTATAAAAACCAAAATGATTAACCACTTGATTACAGAAAAAAAAAATTCTCTGGCCAACTATTTTTTCAAAGTCCTGGAATTAAGGGTAGAGTGAGGTTACCGTATCGTGTAAGCGAATCCTTGGCTGATCTAACTTGCTTCAAAGCGCTTCATTGACGTCATCTATCAATAAATGTCAGCATAGTTAATGGCGCGGAATGGGTGCCGGGGAAACCTATTGTTCTAGGTTTTTGTTCGACTTTATCCATTGTTATATGACGTTGACCGTGCACAGGGAAGGAAAAGTTCATCGGTTTTTTCACAGTATTAGGGAATATAGAAGTTGGAGTTTCCAAACCATTTCACTCCAATATCTATGACGTCAGTTATTTCTTCTTTGAAAAAATAAATAAAGAAAGAAAGAAAAACCTTGTGTTATAAAGTCGAGCCAAATTTAGACATTTATGCTTTAAAAACACACTTCTGAAGTGAAGAACTTTTTTAATTTGACAACGAAGGAAAACAAGTGTCAATAAATAAAAAATGATTCCGGTTAATGTATCACAAAAGATGGAAATATAAATTTATCACAATGTCTTTCAAAACGAAAATTGTTTGTGAGAAAGACGCTTAGTTTTTTTCTTTTTCGGAACTATATTCCTATCTGTTGTATGTTGGTCTTATTTTAACTCTTACTTTATTATTGAAAATCGTTTTATGCTTGGGTTAACAACATAACATTTTTTTCCTTTCTGGCGTCACCTGCTGAGAAGTCAAAGACATTTTAGTTTGGGGTGGCTGGTTCTATCGGTCCTGCGTATTTTCATCGGGCTTCCCGTCAAGGGATATCCATAACGGTGCTCAGTTTAACGTTAGACCAGAAAGAAAGGGATGAAAGGGATGGGTTTTAATTAATTTTGAACTTTTTCCTTTCGTTTTTGTCATTACCCTTAGGATTCTTTCTCACGTAAGCAAGATGTCGTGGAATCAAGCTTCACAGAGTCTACCCTCGCTTAAAACTTTCACATCAAGAAAATTCCCAGCAATCCAAAAATCCTTAAGTCAGCCGGCACAAAGGAGAGAAAATCTCTTAGGGGAAAAGAGAGACTTGGTGCTTCCACCAATCGCCACATTCTACTCCTCAGAAGATATACAGCAGCAGAAAGACACGAAAATCAAGCAATGAATAAAGACGAAATATGTATCCGAAATCTACTCGTTTTAGTATCTATGAAGTTCGATCTGAAGCTTGCTTTATATTTATTTCATATATATATACGAGATTCGCCAATATGTAACCAACAGAATTAAACAAATTAAAAAGCTTGAAATAAAAAGGAAAAAAGTACAATACAAGTGCAATGCAAGTGCCAAGGACTATATGTATTATATGACGTATTCTATATCGGACTACTTCGACGATATACGGCGGCCATCTTGCAAAAGGCGGCAAAACAAAACAAAACTGACCAAAAGTATAGTTTCTTGTGTGTCTTTCTTGTATGGGTAAAGGTGACCAATGTCGCGTCCTTTTCCATCTTTTATTTCTTTTAATATCAATTAGTATAAATTACATTTTAATATCATGTTATTAAGGCCTGGCCTGGGCAACGCGTTCCGCATGTGCCGGATCCAATGCAAATGAACTCAAATCGTCGCTCGTTTGCGTTGGATTCGGCGTATGTGGTTCTCGGTGTAAAGGCTGGGTCTAACTTGGAAAATAAATTTTAATGTATATATATATTTTAACATTTTGATATAATTCTTCATTATTTTACCACATATTTTTAGTGTTTAATTGTAATTTGTAAAGCGCCATTGGACAGAAATGGAAATGGCACTATATAAGCATAAAGTTATAATCATTATTATTATCTTTTGTTGTATTCTCTTGTTGAGCTGTTAATCTCAATCGACATCATCGCTGTAACAATGATGCTTTATTTGCCCTCTGGTGGCCACATAATGTCTTGCAAACCAAGATGGTCGCCATATCGTTGAAGTAGTCCATTAACAAACGAAAAATTAACTAACCTAACTGACGGGCTAGCGAAATGATCTTTCCTTTAAGCTATCACGTGGGCGGCTAGAATATTCGACATAAATTGATCTGACAGTTTGTGGGTTCAGTTTCGGGAGCATGGATGTTTTCGCTTCAATCAATGACTTTTGTCTCATCAAGAAAGATCTTCAATTTACAGGCATCGCTAGGACTAAGTGTTTTTTTGAATGCGATGTTATGTACTAGGTATACTTCTCTTCTCGTACATCTGCATGATTCTGGCACGCCTTAGCTACCGTTGCTACTGTATGTCCCGCAAACTTGAGGAACGTTAGGCTATAATTCGCTTACGCGAACGGGTTAATTGTAGTATTCTTGTTTCATGGGACAAGATGTATAATTTCAGCGGGAAAACTGCTGCTACGGTGATTGAGTGGCTATGTTGCTACCATGAACTCTCGCTCCATAATTACTGAGTTAGCAAATATCAGATTTTGGGGGCACAGGTACTTGCAAAGGAGGCAATTTAATACAATTGTAAGTAAAATACAAGTTCAATTAATCTAAATAATTACCGTCTTTAAAATGGCTGTTCGTGCAACCACTGACCTATTACCTTCCTATGGTCCTTCACGAAGGCAGGATGGTCCCGATGCTAGATATATGTCTTTTATTACCAGGTTCACCAAATATAAGGGATTAAGACATGTTAGTACAGTCCCTCCGCACGTTTCGCACTTTCGATTGTTAAATTATTTTAAACCTTATGTTTTTTCCACTCATATTTTCGTGTCAATGGATTAAATTTAGATTTAATCTATAGCTTGTTTAAAGAGTGTTTTGAACACGAACAGCAAGTGTTTTGCATGTTAAAATGGATGCTTGCATTCTCATTGTTACTATTGAACAACACAACCAGAACTGTTCTTGGCTGGCTTTACAGGACCCTTGTCGTCTGCTTCATGTACAGGTTTGATGTCTTCTCCTGCACCAGCAGTGGACTTCAAAAGAGAAAAAAGAAAAAAGAAAATGACATACCAAAACTTAGTGTTATAGACACTACAGAAAAACGTTTGCGCATGCGTGCACTTCAGCACTTCAGAATTTTGAAGAGTTCGAGTGAGAAAACAAATGTTGGTTTTCTCGAAGTATACAAAAAAGTTCGAGAGTATACTTTTGTCAGACCAAGATACTGTATTAACAAACACAATATGAAAGAATTAGTCTTCGTTTCAAGCATGGGCACTAAGTTTTGGTATTTTGTGAAGTCCAATTTATCAGGCATGTTTGAAAGTCAAATTTACATATGTTTGACTAATTTGCATACGGATTCAAAGCATGCGCAGGCGTTTTTCACTCGTGTCAGTGTGATATACATAACGTAAAGTGATAACGAAATAAAAAGATGGTGATGACGATCATGTGATGTTCATGATGACGATGATGATGGTGAAGACAACAACGACAACTATAATGACAACAGTCATCATTGTGTAGGGGACTAAGCGAGAGGTTTCGAGGTTAACCACAATTATACATTCAATATTTACAGCACACAACACTCAACTCATATATTGATTTTGACAGAAGGAAAACCGGAGAACTCGGCGGAAAAGAACCTTGTGGGTCACCGTGGTAACGGGGAGAAAAACGTCATATCAAATAAACTCAACTGAGGATAAGCTCTGAGAATCGAGCCAGCGTGGACTGCATGCAAGTTTGAACTACAAGGTAGCGAGAGGCCGTCGGTATTTACCTTGGGAGGCTGAGCCTTAGATACATCAAATCCCGCATAGGCATCTGTCCATAATGAGAACGGTGCTGGAAGGTTAAATTCTTGTGGGCTGGCCAGGCCAAAAGTAGCCTTCATTTCAAGCTCGGGAGGTTCTGCTGGAATCTTGTGAAAGTAACTGCATTGAAAGAAAAATATAAGACAGAGCTACTTACTTAAAAGTAAATTCCATTGGCGATAATCACTTTTTCATGAGTAGTAACGCTAACTAACTGTTTATCATTCTTTTAACCCGAATACATTAAAACAGTGGAACACATTACAACCTTGAAAACAATCTCTGGGCTGATCTTAGTCAGGACACGGCTGTTAGGTTTTGCAGAGGGAGAAAAATTGGAGAAAACCACTGGAATCAAGGGAGAGACCTAATAAACTCTACTCAATGAATGGAACCCGCAACCCCAGCGGTACTAAGAGGCGAGTGCACTATTGCTACACCACCCTTCATTGCAAGAAACACAGAGTATGTAAAGCAAGCCACCATTACTGACAATGCTCAACACTTAACGCAGTAATACACTACTCACATAAAGCCATTTTCCCTGGTTGCTTTTTCAAGCCTAGTTCGCATGAGTGGTCCAATTCGCTTAAAGAAAGGGTGTTCTTGGGGCCTTGCAGTTGTTCCTGGTCCCTTGATTGAAGCATACTCTTTGCATAGTGTCTCAGCTTTCTCATATGCTAAACAAAATCACAAATAAAGACAGAAATGTTGATGGCATAAGTCTGAGACGCTATTAGTTTTAACCAACTATACGACAGACTACTAAGTGAAGAAACATTTTTGTGAGGGGTGGGAGGGGAGGGTTGGGGGATTCGCAGTAAACTTCTTTATAATGTTTGCAGCCCTCCACYTTTCACTCAGTAAGAAATTCAGGACTCTTGTTAAGGAAACAATTAAGAAAACAATCGTATGCATCATCTTGAACACAGTCTGGGAATCTGATTTCTCTTTAAAATAATTGTTTGATACACTGTTTAACTCACACTTTTGACTCTCTTGGAGGGCTTTAATAGCATTGCCACACTCTTCAGCCTCTAGAAGTAACTCTCCTTGAAAACAGCGGGCCTGGAAGAATAAGTTACAAGAAGTTAAGAAAATCTATCCCCCCTCCCCCTGAAGGCCACACCCTGGGTCCAGAGGCTGTCTTGTTCAAGTGTTTCATAAATTTGTCTTCAAGTGTTTTTGCTCCAATTACAGTGTTGGGCTACGCTGTTATAAGATATTTTAAATATATGATGTATGTTTTAATCGAGATGTTTTGTCAAATACGTTATATACGTTATTAATTTAGTATTTTTACACAAGTGAATATAATAAATCCAGCACGCTCATTGGTCACAATTTACGTCTTATGCTGCTATATTCACCTACCTACTCATTTGTCGATTTGCGCCTTTTGCAGAGATAAAATAAAATTTGTAGAGACAAAAAAATCTCTCTCCATTATTCACTTGTGTTAAAAATACAAAAATGATTATTCCCCTCAGACTTAGAATATTGGGGAATATATACCTTGCTGCTCGAAGACTTATGTCTCAATAAATATTCCACAAATATTCACTTCGCCTTTGGCGAATAATTGTTGAATATTACATAATTCTAGTTAGCAATGTTAAAAATCTTACATAAGCCAGATAAAATGATGCCTTCAGCTCAAGATATTTTCTCCATTTGCCAGCTTTTGATGGTTCAACTGACTTCAAAGAATCCCCTGGAGAAATAATGAGACATGATCAATATTATCCTGATTACCAATAGGATGTTTGCATGATGGCATCATTTGACTCCTACTACCAAGATGCTTTGTGAATTTTCTTTCTTATTTAATTTTGTATTCCCTCAAAAAAATAGTAAAACAATTAGTGCTAATTAACCGAACAAAAGAAGGTGTGCAGGGGAGTAGAGGTCAATGACACCATCGTGCAAATGTCCTATTGAAAGCAAATTATTTTACTCGTCTGCATCAGAGACCCAAGACTGGAGTATCTATGTTTGGAAGATCTATTCTAGATGAGGAAGTTATTCATGTCTTGCAGGAATTAAGGTTTTGATTCTAAGTGGGGAATAATGACCTTAATGAGGGTTACTTAGGATAAATATTTATTTCCATTATTGAGAAGTGCAATTTTATCAGTAGTGTTGTCTGGCTGGGTCACTCACTGAATATGCAGATTAAGAACATCCCCCATTGCAGTGAATGAAATCAGTTCCAAAAACTTTAATTGCAAAACTAGTGTTATATCACTATTAATTAGTATTGACAGCTCACTATTGGACAGACCAATGGGGTGGGGCAGGGGGGCTATAGCCTCCCACTCTTTCACTTTTTCCCTTATTCTCTTATATTTTCCAATCTTAGGCCCCCACTAAGTAAGAATAAATCTTAGCCCCCACCCCCACTTTTTAGGCTGCTTAGTGGCCCTTGGAGACTCTGGTTGACCAATGTACTACTTCATGAATTATTAAGACAACCATTGAGCTTTAGAAGTGTACATCAAACAAAAAAGAACGATTTGGACGATCTTCTTTTTTATCAGCCTTAAACAAAGTTTACTGAAGCTTTAATATACAATATATTTCCTACCTGCAGATGTAAAAAGACTAGCCGTTTCATTTGCCAGTGATGATATAAGAGATGCTTTGTGTTTTAGTTCAACAGCTCGAGCCACAGTGACTGCATAAAATAGAAAAACAATTTGAATATTAATTTTAACAACTGGTAGCTGATATTTGATAGCTGTCTAACAAAACAAATATTGGAAAATGTCATTCAAATCTCACCCTCTTGAGCCTCTGCAACACACTGCATTCGATAAGCCTCAATGACACGGGTATCAACATCTGCTCCTTTCTCTGCAGAGGTGTTTCCAAGCCGAGGCAATAGACTATCCTAAGAGAGTGAGCAGAGGATACATTAATAAAATGATGGCAAGTGACTTGCAACTTGTCATGAGAAATCAGTCAGCAACAAATTTTAACAAAATGAATTGGGGATTAATTTTGATGAATAGTTACAGTAATATTGAAATAACAGATATCCTTGGCGTTATTTGTCATGAGGAAGAAATGGAATTTTCTGGCTTGGGTATAATGCTTTTACATTTCATACCAAACATGTGTCATGTAAGTCTCCTCAGCAGCTGAGTGTGTTTTTAGTCTCATTTCATTCTCCTACTGTAAAAATGGCCAACACATAGGACGAAATGGAATAAACATTATACCCAAGCTGTAAAGGTTTGTACTTAACAATAATGCGCAAGAAGGACTGACCTTTACAAACTGAAAGAGACCACCTGCTGTTCGGAGGCATGAGTGGACTTCTTTTGCTTCCTCCATGGAGATACTAATGAGAGAAAACATTAGTTAATGTTTTTCGATATTAATTTTTTTTGCTTATTTGTCTTATTATTCTCTTGAGAAAATACCAATTTGAGTAAGAAAAAATTTCTTGAACCATTTTGGTAGTGGTTAAATACATAGTAAAATGAGGCTATCGCATGCAAACAGCCTATGTGATTTATTTTCAAAATGCAATGAAAAAGCAGCTATAATTGAGGCTGTTCAGCTGTTGGTATTACTCATAAGTGTAACATAGATCAAATAAAACTTACTCTTCCTTGGCAGCTACTTTGGCAGCATGTTTGGTATACCACATTGCAATGTTCATGCACATAGACATCAATTCAAAAACAGAATCAGCTTCACACCTATAATTAACATTTATTATACATTATGGGAAAAACAACTCACTTGGCCTAATATGTAGCCACTTAGCATGTTAATATCACAGGACTGATACATATCAAAGATTTTATTTGAGTTTCATCAAGCAAATTTTTCTTGAATTTTTTATATCAACTTACGTTGGGGTGTTTCCACATATTGAGTTGGTCCACTTGAACACAATAAGTTTGCGCAGCTTGCTATCACCAGCTCCTCCTGGGTCATTAACGAGCCCAACAAGCAATGAAAAATACATTTCATATGCATTTTGTATTGATGTTGTTTCATTTGCAGGATCTGTTAATAGACTTAGCAGTCTGGAACGGCTTTGCCTCAGGTCTCTGTGAACAATATTACACAATGAATTATATGCATAGTCATGCTTTTATGCATTATAGACACTGATATAATTTCTATCAAAATATGTGATTGGCTATGCAGAGCTATCTTCAAGCATGTAATATTTGACCAATGAATATCCTTTTTTTGTATAAACTTACTAATGATTTATCTAACTTATGTTTTGACTTAATTTCAATTTTTTCTGTATCCATTTATTTGACTGATTAGTAGGTTTAGACTAAAACAATTAGGCCTCTTCCCCTTCTGGCCTATGATTCAATAGCCCATTCTGCCTTTGGCCTAGCTCATTGGCTATTGACTTGTAGACCATTCAGGTTTCTGGTCTATATTTTAAAAATTAGGGGAATGGGCATAAGGGTAGAAATTTTGATGGCTGCTTTCCTGTCCCAGCTTTGATCAATGCAAGATTCAGCAAACTTTGAACAAGGGATAAGGGCTCTACAGTATTCATTTTTACTCATATATTTCTCTGTTCCCAAACCACTAGGCATAAACAGTTGATCTCCTTTTGACAGCCCATCAAAAACCTGCCAATCATGGTGCAGGAAGAAATCTGATCAGGTGGTTCATCAAATCTAATTAGCATATAATACAATTGAAAAAAATGGCGGCCACTTGGATCTTTGCTTTCCTAGCTACAAATATGGGCTAGAAATGCATTAAAAATTCTACCTATATACCTACATGTATAACAACTAACTATGGGTCAAATGGTGCAGTGGGTTTCAATTCTTTTATTAAATCATTGTGAAATAATAAGCACTTTGTTTGGCCATAAATGACTGAAACTTGGACTACCTGATCAACTAAAACAATCCTTTTCACCTATTCCCAAAGATCACCTGGAACATTGATTGACACATGGAGCAATATGAAAAAAAAATTCAAATTTATTAAGGCTTGTACAGCAAATGTAGATGCAGCAATTTTTACTTCTGTCCTCTAGCTCTTGATAATAATTCTATTCTTGGCCCAGTGCATGTTACGTCATAGCTGCCATGTTGTTTGACATATAACAAATCATTCCTCAATAGCTTCTCTTGTTAGATCAACCAACGTAGCAGCTCTGTTTCATTGTTATTTATATCTGGAGGGGTTTTTAGTCATGTACATGGTTGCACTCCAAGAATATAATTTATTTATAATTTATACAATAAAACTCAATAGGAGTCTACTACAGTGTATAAAGGAAACCCCTACTCCTTGTCAAGAGTAAATCAAATGACCTCCACTGATTATTTACCTTACATAATACTAGCTGTGGCAATTTGAAAGACTTCGAGATGCACTCAAGGGACTAATTATTTATTCTGCGAAACGAGCTAAACTAGCTACTGTAGCTAGCTAATCGTGTAAAAATAAACTTCCGGAAAAAAGCAAATCTTACACTTTCACAAACCATTATATTACTTTAAAATATACTATATCATTATTCTAAAGCACAGGTTATAAAAATGCTATTTAATCTGGAATAATAAGCTTATAAAAATCTAAAGTTTAGCAAAAAAATATCAGCTGAGTTCTTCAAAAATCCACGAATGCATAATAATATTGTGTAAATATTGTAGCAAATCCCATCAAATCTTAACGATAGGGAGCCGAAAATAACAGAAGATACTCACGCTAATATCTTAGAAGCAGAAGGATTAGTGGCAATATTCCTGATGGATTCAAACGACACAGGAGCTGATGCCTTGATGGGGTTTCTGTGAAACCAGTGCGCCATCTTGGATAGTACTTCATATGCTATTTATAGCATATAATGTTATATATATACCTTGACCAATGGTAAACGTTATTATATTCTAGTAATAGCTGATTGGTGGATATAATATTATTTTTGATTCGTTGGTTCAAACTCCCAAAAAGCCAAATATTTGGCGCCGCTTTTCTTCATCTTTGGAATGTTATCGTTTAGTTTAAGAAGTTGAGGAGGTTTTTGCTGTTTTATTTGACTAAGATGGCTACTCCACAGGAGAGGAATGATATTCTAAGTTCGTTAAGACCCGTATTTCCCCAGCTGGGCGACAATGAACTTGAAGAATGCATAGAAAATGTTCGTAGAACTGTAGGAGAGAGTCGCGAGCTGATCATCCCTGGTTGCATTGACCTACTACTTGCTAGAACTGCAAACCAAGAAAGAAACCCTGGTCGTGATTATCCTGGTATGGCTGTCGCGATTCAAGATGAAATACCGAGACATGAAATGACCTATGTTAATGATATTTCAGACGAAGAGTTTTCTGAGGAGGTTGAAGATGACGAGCTAATGTATGTAGCAACTTCCATTCAAGGTAGACCAGATTTGGAGATTTACTTTGTAGATGATTCTCCTCCTTTGTCTAAAAACTCAACCTGCAAAACTACTTCAAGCCTCTTATCTCCTAAAAGAAAGAAGAATGGATCTAACAAACGCTCTTCTTCTGAACTTTCTCCAAGTTCAGTCGAAAGTACCTCTGGTTTGACGTTATCACCACCATCTACAACATGCGCTAAATCTCCTATTACAAACCCTATTCGATTCTGTGTAGAAAAGATAAAACGTCTCTTCCCTGATGTACAGGAAAAATACCTAAGAGAACTGCTTGAGAGTTGGGGAGAGTCGCCAGTAGATAATCTGGTTAATAGGGCATGCAATTATCTCATAGAAAATGGAAGTTATCCTAAAGAGGAAGAGAAAATAAAATGTTCTGTTAAATCACCACCAGAAAAGACACATACATGTAATACTGACTATCTGAAAGAATTTAGCTCACCAACATCTTACGTCTACGAAAGGCAATGCCTCAGTTTACTGGAAAATGAATTCCCAATGGTGTCTGTGAGGGACATAAGGAACATTGCTAGAAAATTTAATTGTCACTATGCTCCCACAAGAAAGTACTTGGAAGAAAAGATGATTGAAGCACATCAGTCTAAACTACCAACATCCTCTTTCAGGAATGGAAACTCTACTTCCGGTTCAATCAGATTATTGAAGACAAAAAGACGACAACATGTATTTGAGTCTTTTCATTTATTGGTTCCTGAACTTCAAAAAGAAATTAATTTTATCAAAAAATACAAGATAAATGAAGCAGAGGAAAAGGATAGGCAAATGGCTTTTATTCTAAATGAAAAGCAGTATGAGGAAGAGGGTCAAAAAATTGAGTGTGGCTGTTGTTATGGAGAGGCAACATTTGAAGATATGATCCAATGTCTAGATGGTCACCTGTTTTGTATTGATTGTTTGCAAAACTATGCCAAAGAAGCAGTATTTGGTCAGGGGAAAGCTATGCTTTCATGTATGACAAGTGAATGTGACAGTACTTTTTCCATGAGTCAACTGAAAAAGACTCTTGCTTCAAACATATTCTCAAAGTATGAAGACAGACTCACTGAGGAATCACTTTGTCTTGCTGAAATGGACGATCTTGTCCGTTGTCCAAGCTGCGACTTTGCTGCCATATTGCCTTCTGAGGACAAAGTCTTTAAATGCCAAAATACATCCTGCCTCAAAGAAACGTGCCGATTTTGCAAAGAAGATTGGAAGGAACATTTTGGTCTGAAATGTAATGAGGTAGAGAAGAAAGAAGCTAAGAATGTTAGATTATCGTATGAAGAAAAAATGACCATGGCTAAAATTAGAAAATGCCACAAGTGTGGTTGTGAATTTACAAAATCTGATGGCTGCAATAAAATGACCTGTCGCTGTGGGACAACTATGTGCTATATTTGCCGTAAACCTGGTATTAGCTATGCACACTTTTGTCAGCACCCAAGAGAACCAGGGAAGAAATGTGATAGCTGTAAGAATTGTTCTTTGTGGAGTGACCCTTCAGAAGATGATAACATGGCTGTTAGGCAACTGGAAAGAGAAGCTGAGGAAGTTAAAAGGAAAGCAACTGATAGCAGTGAAGGTGAAACCCTATCAAAAAGACCCAGAACTTCAAATCCAAGTGTGAATTTACATGTTGGTAATTTAGTTCAGCCAATTAAGTAGGACGTTATTATCTCCTTTTACTACAATGACATTTTTTCTTTAAGGCAGACTAGTATGAAAATTGCCCAAACTTTACAGCGTAACACACAAAAACAACATTTAATGTATTCGCATACTTCTATGCACAGGCTTTTTGCTACCAAATGAACATTTGCATGCTTTATTTGGTAAAATCAGCCAGCTTTGCATTGAAATGTGTTGGTTTAATGTAAAGAACCTGTGCATAGAAGTATACATTAAATGTGGTCATACTTTTGCACCTTGCTCTGTAATCCAGCTCAAACCAGACTTATCTTTAAGGGTTTAATAATCACCAATTTTTTTCTTGATATCGTGTAATTCTAATTACAAGTAATTTAAGTTAAGTCCGTCAGCTGACCTTTGGGGTTCATTGACCAAAGTTTAGTGTTGAGTAAATAACATCACTGAATCTGTTAAAAAAACATATAATACTTCCCATTGAAATATGAAGGAAAAAAAATTAACCAGTGATTATTAGACCCTTAAAGATTATTCCAGTAAAGTTTCAGCTGAATTAAATTTCAGACAATTTTGTAGGTGTCCATTTCAAAAGCCCCCTCCCCCCCCCMAAAAAAAACAATAATAAACTTGTTTCTGTTAACTTCAACATTACATTATAGTGGTTTTCATAAACCAGTGAAATAAGCTTTAGCATATTTAGCACTACTTCATTCTAATCCTTTTGTTTTCTATTGTGTTTATCTGACTATTACGCTGTAATTAGTACACTTTGCTTCATGGGTGAATGAAATCCACTCTCTTGAAATGGCACATTCTGACTTTGAAGATATTATTCTTCAGGAATTCCATGCCAATCGTTTGTTGAAAAACTAGGCATGATACAGATTGTTCTCATAATATCACTTTGGCAGTTGTTTATTTGTTTCAATTTACTGTTATATAGCTCAAACATTTGAGCTGAATCATACAGTAGTTAGTCGTATATGAAGTATCATATGTTTGCTCACTCTATAGGTTACTGTAGTTTGCTTTGAATTTATTTTCAGGAGGCTAGCTAGAAATGCAGTAAGAAGACATTCATAATCGTAGAAAATACACCGATATATTTTCCTAACAAGAGAAATTATTTTACTCGGCTTTCAAACAACACAAACGTGAGTTGTAAAAATGTGTTTTTGCTAAAACTTTTTAAGTCAAGGTGTTAAGATAAAAATGCCTTATGCCTCTTGGTTTGAACATTTAAAAAATATTTTGGAAGAAATGACAGCAAAATTTTGTCATTTGATTGCAAATCATTATCTGACAGTGGAGAGCATGGCTTGATAATCCCATTGTCCAAGGTCTGTTTTTCCTGATTGAACACCCTGATACTAAGAATGAGGGTGAACCTGTGCAGAGAACATTTGTTCTTAAAGAAGTACCATTATATTAAAAAGATATAATAGTCAATTTTAAAAGTTTATGTAATTATACATGTTCTTCATAAAAAATATTAATTTCATAGATATTAGTTTTATTGAATTTATCCTTAAAAAATAAATTGAAAAAAAGATTTTCATGAATTCACGAATACTATCCATTTGTTAATTTTTTTTATTACCAAACAATGCATTTATCTCATTTCCCTTAGGACCATGGTACTGTATAATTAGGAAAAAAGATTCTTATATACTAGGAATTCTTGATGATTATGAGATTGAAAGGGATATTTGTCAAGCAGAACTTGTAGTTTTCCAAAAAAAAAGGTTTTTTGTTGGTGCATGATTTTGTGTATTTGAGGACAGAAAGAACTACCAGATAACCTCACTTGGTTAATTTAGATTTTGTAATGATTAGAATAAAAACATGCATTCCTACTGAATGATAGAATGACAGTAGTGTATCAGCTTTCTTTAACTTTTAAGGGGTTTTCGTGAGGGAGGGGAGGGGGAGATTTTTAAGCTGGGTGGGCTAGTAATTCTTATTCAATATTTGTAGTATTTCTTTCAGCATCTCGACAGGATAAATCACTGAACATCAAGCCACAAAGAAACAAAGTACAGTAGTTCTGAATTACAAACAATCATTCAAAAAAAATTTCTCGTTGCTTTCTTACTATATTTTGAATTGACGACTCTTAAAATTCTAGCGTATGCGGGCTTAACCGGGGCGGGCGGTAAACTATGAACAGAAATTAAAATAACGATTTGAACAGGGGCAGATCCAGGAAAAAAGTACCGGGGATGCTCGTCGGGAATTTTCAAAAAGACCCCTAAAAGATGCCGGAAGTCTTTAAAAAAGGGCGTGGCTGAATGATTTTTAACCCCTAAGAGATACCACAACAAATATTAAATTTTATACAAAAAGCGCCTAGGATAAGCCATATCGATGCGCGCTTCTCTCCTTTTCCGACACCCTTAGAGATACCAGAAAATGCTGATTTTCAAAAATTCGCATTTAACACCCTAAAAGATACTAAATCACGAATTTTTACCCCTAAGAGATACGACGAGCATCCCCGGTACTTTTTTCCCGGAGTCCCCCCCGCCCCCCCCCCCCCGGGGGGGGGGGAATAGGATTGGTTTAATTTGTACTTACAGCTGCTGATGGAGATCTGATATCAAGATTAGGAAATTGTGATTAAATTGCCCTATACACAGGTTTACCGAGTAAATTGAAAAATACTTAATATAAATTAAAATCCATGCCTTTGGGGTTTCAGAACGTAGGAATATAATAAAGTTGAAGTTTTCTTGCGAAAAAGAATCAAAACTTTCATTGCCGTTAACCAATCAGCCAATAAACCAATCATCTTACGGTCAGGCACGCACGTGATTTGTGCCACCAGCCAATATAGACTAATAGAATGATCTTTGTTGACCTTTACACTGCTGGCTCGTATACAAATGCGAACAGGTGGATCGATTCAGACATTTTCATTAAAGTTTTACAAGATGAAGATTGGCTAGCTTGGATTCTCTCTTAAATGATTCTTAAAATCTGTTTAAAACCAACAATGTAAGAGGGATTTAAGGAGCTCACATGAAGCTGATTCCCACATTGAGGGCGAACAGTGAATTGTACCAGATAAAGTATTTAATTCTAAGATGAAAATGAATCTCTGTTGGCTTGGATGATTGCTCTGTAGGCCGGCTTCATGTGCTCATTTGTTGGTTGGTGAATAATGATAGCCGCCCAATAGCCATTCACTGAGAAAACTCCTCGATTGAGTTAATTTTCTTGAAGTCAAAAGTGATCTTAGAATGGCAGTTGGATTAAAGACCTTAGCAAGGCTGAGTCATCACACGAGACATTTTCATCTATGGCTGTTCATCGCTATTGCATCTCAAATCATGTGGACCGTACACGGGATAGAAACACCAACCACTCTAGAAGGAAGAAAAGAAGACGAAATGGAGCATTCTCACAATACAGACAGCCTAAGTATGATGATATTGATCACCCTTCTTATTGTAGATGTGTTGATCATTTGGCTTTTCAAAATTCGACGACTCCAGTTCATTCACGAGACAGGTGTAGCCATGATCATCGGTGTGGTGGTGGGCTTTTTGATCAAGTATGCAGACAATCAAAACCAGCGGAAACCTCTAGCCGTGAAAATCAAGAACTGCGGTAACCTTACAAATGCTCCTAGGAGTGTTTTTGTTAACATAAACGGTACAGAATATTCTTATAATTTGATTGGAATTCGTTTTCCTTCCCAAACATCGCCTCCCGAGGAATCGAACGAGATCGAATCACGCGCTACATTTAACCCTGAAATCTTTTTCTATGTGCTCCTGCCTCCCATAATCTTTTACGCCGGATACAGTATGCAGAAGAGGTACTTTTTCAGGAACTTGGGTGCCATATTGACTTATGCTTTCATAGGAACGACCATATCATGCGTATCTACTGGTTCTCTGATATATGGGTTCAATAAGTGGACAGGGGTAACGTCCGACTTCGATTACCCAGAATGTCTATTATTTGGTGCTTTGATTTCTGCTACAGATCCTGTTACTGTTCTCGCAATCTTCCACGACATTCACGTTGATGTTGATTTGTATGCATTGGTATTTGGAGAAAGCGTTCTTAATGATGCTGTTGCATTGGTATTGTACCGAGCAATCGAAAGCTACTTGGCTTACAACCCAAGAGAAATGCGGCAGTTTGATGTTTTATCAGTATTACAAGCTGTAGGGGACTTTGTTGCTATTTTCGCCGGTTCGTTCGTGATTGGCTGTGGAATGTCATGCATTAATGCTCTGGTGACAAAGCTAACCAAACTAGGTAGTTTCCCTGTCCTTGAGACCGCTTTGCTTTTCCTCATGTCCTACTGTACGTTCCTTGCAGCAGAAGTGGCCAACTGGTCAGGGATTGTTGCTGTTCTTTTTTGCGGTATAACTCAACAGCATTACACTTATAAAAACCTCACTGAAGAATCAAGAGTTCGAACCATTCAGACTTTTGAGCTAATGAACTTTCTGGCGGAAAACTTCATTTTTACCTATATTGGATTATCTGTGTTCGCATTTGCCAGCCATCAATGGAATCTAGGTTTTATTGGCTGGACGTTCTTAGCAATTATAGTTGGTCGTTTCCTCAATATCTACCCTCTGTCATTCTTGCTCAATCTTGGCAGAACACGTACCATCCCTTTCAACTTTCAACACATGATGTTCTTTTCTGGTCTTCGTGGAGCGATTGCGTTCGCGCTGGCGGTTCGTAATTCTGTCTCTATTCCTCGCCAGATGATGTTGACTGCAACCCTTGTAATCGTTATTGTTTCGGTGATTGTCCTTGGGGGACTAACGGTGCCCGTTCTTTCTGGTCTCGGCATTAGGAGTGGGGTGGACGAGCATGAAGAGGAGAAAAAAGCAAGAAGATTAAGTTTGCTTGATATAAATGACCCTTCATCAAGCACACCAGTAGATCGAATAGAAAAGAAAATTTATGAAAAAGCATGGCTCGTACGTGCTTGGTCTAAAGTGGACAACAAATATCTAAAGCCGTTATTTGTCGAGGAGAGTGCACTGACACACTAACTTTTATGTCAGTCAGTATATAGCTAGTTAAAATAATGTTCACTTTAGAGTACTGAATACGCTCACGTCAAAGTTCTTTACAGCCGTGTTAAACGAAAAGAAATACGCTTTCTTCGATCTTGGCGGATTTTATCTGGGGGGTCAAATACGCCATCAAATACAAAGGGGTATTCAGTATTTTCAACGAAGACCATTCTCTTTAAAATAGCTGTAGTGTATAACAGTGGATGAATGTAAAAAAAATAGTGAATGGGTTATGTAAAATGTTTGGGGTATTGACTATTGAGGGGCATTTTCGAGGTAACTATCGAAAGAATATCGTCAAAAATGGCGACGATGTATGTTTTTTGTTTAAATTTGTAGTCAGGGCGTGCCATGTTTCAATTCTAGAAAATTTGATCGATGCTATTAGAAACGATTCTATATAATTATGCATCGCAGGAGTTGTTCGTTTTATGCTTTTTCCTTTTCAGGCTTTGGAAATCGAGGGAAGGGTAGGGGGTTATTCACGACAGACGGTATGATTATTGGTAATGAAGATGACATGCAGGTTGGTCAGTGAAGACTCATCTGCACCATGATCGACTCAAAAGTATAATAAGCCTTTCATTTACAGAGTATACTGTTTACTATTTTCTGCTTAAGCCTGGTTCACATATGATCGCAGATGATCGCACTCGATCGCTGGCGATCGAGTGCGACTATATGTGAACAGAATTCTGCGATCGTGAGATTCGAAGGTGTCCCACAATGCTCAGTTTTCCATAAAACACGTGTGTATTTTTGATTTTCACAAGCGAAAAAAAAAAAATCATTTCTTTTTTAGATATTTTTCAGATATAACTGGTTCAAAAGTATCAACACACGATTATATATTCTAATTTACGTTTGTAAGCCACATAGGCAAGTAAACAACTATTCGAGTATTCAAGTATTCACCATCATAAATTCGAACGCTTCTTTTTTGATTTGCCAGCGATTCTTTGATTAAGTAAGGTTAACAAGAGTAGACTATTGACACCGTTCAACACTTCTTCGTCTCCGTCGTCCATGTTGAATCTGCATGGTACTTTGTTTTACTGCTGAGTGATAATTCGCGGACTCAGGTGTCAACAGACCGCCGGCGATCGGCTGCGATCATATGTGAACCAGGCCGCCTGTAAAGTTTACCCCGGTGACCGGGGACTGACTCCGGGATCAAAATATCGGGTATGCTCGTCGTATCTCTTTCTTAGGGGTAAAAATGAGCGATTTGGTATCTTTTAGGGTCTTTATATTGAAATTTAGAATTTCTTTATTTCCTTTTATCTTTAGATCATCTTTTAGGGGTAAAACAGAGTCCAACCACGCCCTTTAAAAAAGGAATTATGGTATCTTTTAAGGGTATTTTTGAATATTTCCGACGATCAAACCCGATACTTTTACTGCGGAGTCCCCCCTCCCCCCTGGCTGCATATATGTTTTCCATACTACTAAAACCATATCAGCCAAAGAAGCTCTACTGTTACTTTATGTAGTACCTATTTTATTCACCACAACATCTCAACACATAACTAACTATGAGAAACTTTATAAAGTTCATAAAAAATGTTTGAATTAAATGTCCTGGCTTGAAGTGGTGTGTCTCCTTTAGAAACCCCATTTTCTTATTTATTCTTTAACTTGTTTCGCAATTCTTTTTGTCTTGTTTTTGTTTTAGCAATTACTTATCCCAGGATACCGGACCGCGGTCACACACCTACTGCCCGCTCGAACAGCCAATCAGAACACACGATTCTTAGGATACTGTACTGAGGAAAATATAATTTGATTAATATGAAACCCACCATGGTATCTATCGCGTAAAAAAGACCATTTTGAATTAGGAATGTATATAACACAAGCAAGGGAACCAATCATATTCGTATGTCTGTTTTTATTTATTTAATATTTTCAAACAAAAGCGTGGCCATACCCAGCTCCCTCCCACAAGACTCTGTAAATACGTTGCAGCATTAAATAGGATGATGAAGGCGAAGAAAAAATTTAGACAGTTGCTATTATATGTGCATGTAAAAATCAGTACATTTCAAATGATGAAGGTGGTGTGAGACTGACCAGCAGTACCTTTGTACCTTTAGTGCTGATTAGCACCCTAGTTGCCTGAGTATGTGCGTTTTGAACAACTTACTTATGATGTGTATAACATATACAATGGTATATAACGGGGGGTTAAGCCGTTTATTTCTCAATTGACACGGTTTTCTTTGTTATTCACAAGGCTTTATTTTTGTTATAACCCTCATTATAAATGCGAGGTCAATATATAGTTATTAACCCGGTTAATAACTATATTTAAAACACTCATTAATAATTCATAAGCTTATGGTCCAATTAGAGCCACCATACAAGTCACGTGCATGAACCTTTATACCCGATAAAGTCCTCTTCATCCAAGTTTAGATGAAAACATAGAGCTTCATCAAGGTCATAGTCAACCCTAAAGATCTTTGACTAACGTACCTGTCTTTGCCTTGGCACGCAATATCCAACGTGTGGGAGCTTCTATTGAATCTGGTTGCGCATGCCCGTGACGTCAAATCTCTATCGAGGTATAAAAATCCATGTTCGTGACGTGTATGGTGGCTCCAGTTGAACCAAAATCTTATAAATTGTTCATGAGTGTTTTAAGCAGTTCAAAAAATTCGTAGATCGTGTTTTATCAGGTATAAAAGCACTCGGCTACGCCTCGTGCTTTTATACCTGATAAAACACTCCTACTCGTTTATTAAACATTACATAGACCATTCGCATTTATAATGAGCAACATTTGATAGAAAACCTTCTCAATTGATAAATAAAATACTTAATTACCTCGAACGTCGGCAATAAGCCTATACATCCCTTGGGCCTGCGGCCCTCGGGATGTATATGGCTTATTGCCTCCGTTCTCGGTAATTAACTCTAACGTAGTTACCGGCATGCCTAATAGTACATTCACGTTATCGTTTTGTAATTTCCTACTGCCAATAGATCCTAGTTCTTATTGCACCTTGCTTGAGGCTCTAAAGGTTGATCTCAGTTCGACAGGGGACTGATTAATGGGCAGTTTTGTTGTCATTGATGCGGTTGCCTTTTAACCAAAACAGATCCATTAAGCAAATCATTTTCAACAAATATTTCACATTTTTCTCACTGCCTAGATATGTCTCTGTCAAATAGTCGTTAGTATTGGCAAATGATTTACGATCTTCAGCATTTGGCAATATCCAACTAGAGCTTTGTTCAGTTTTTTAAATGATGCAAAGTGTGTAATTTCTATACAACTACACTTCCAGGTCCTCTTTTACTACTGTATTCGTGAAACTGTGCATTTCATTTTCGACTTTGCAGCTGTTTTTACTTTGAAGTGTTCGTACGGATTTTCGTTCTCTCAACCATAGAAAAATAAGGAAAGCATTCACCACGAAACTCACGGAAGAAAGCAAGGCAAGCCCAATAAATATATTTGACCCATATTCCTGATTGGTTGAATGCTCTTTTCGACCTACTGATGTGTCGTTTCTACACAATGGTAACGGATCACGTGGTTTGCATTGGTAGTTTTCTACGCCTGCGCAGTACTGGGTAGAAAAGAAAACGTTATCTGGAATGTTCTTGATGTTAGTATTCAGGCGAATAATTCGTCCCAAGGTGAGACCATGGACCATCTTGATTTCCTGGACATAATATACCAAAACAAGAGTTAAATCACAACTAAGAGATCTATTGCATTGTACTAATTACAGTCAAACTAAGAAAATCGTTAACACCTAAAATAAGCCTGGAAAGTTAGACATCGTGTTCTGACCAATCGCATGCGAGAACGAATTCATTTCTAATTAACTGTTGCATGTGATTGGTCAGAACACGATGCCTAACATTCCAGGCATATTTTAGGTGTTCACAGTTTTCTTAGATCGACCGTAATTTATATGAAACATTTCCCAAAATGTTCTAATGTAGAGTCCGCCAGATGCTATTCTTGAGGTGTTGTTACGTCATGGCCGCCATGATGGTTGACGATAATAAAGTAATCCTCATCAGCTCCGATCTCATGTTAGATCAACCAACATGGCGGCTGTTTCATTGTCATTTATCAGTCTCAAGGGTTTTTGAGTGATATGTGGTAGCACTACTCCAAGAATTTCTGAAACATCTTATAGAAAAGCTAATGAAAATCAATAACTATAAGTGTTTGTTTTGATAATTTAAATGATCAGATCACGCGACATTTTACCGCCATCAAATTGTTTTGATTTTTGATTAAAAAGTTGGTATTTTAGATAGTTATTACAGAAGCTAATGAAAGGCAAAATGGATTAGTGTTTGATATGTATATTTTATTGTGAGCTTGAAGACGTCTAATTGTGAAGACGGATGCGTCAGATGGGCCTCAGGGAGTGTCAAACCGCCGCAAACAAGATAAGATTGATTACCTGAGGGTCAAGTATTTTCTGGTACCAGAACCTGTCACCATCACGTATCTTGAGAAAGTTGTTTGTTAAAATCCTGTGAATGGAGGCAGAAGTCCCTTTAGTACCAGCAAGCTAACTCAATACTTAAGCAAATTTTAGGTGTATAAGTAGTGTCTTGTAGCTCTGAATATTTCAAAATGAACAAACTTCTCTCTTATTTTCAGTGGTGCTTAGTTTTGGATCAGTTGACCCTGTAAGTAGCACGATACTTTGCTATTCACAGGGCATATAAAATCATACTGGAATATTTGATTTTTGAAAAATACTAAAATGTCTTATATATTAGTCGTTTTAAAGTACTGAGGGTGGGG